GCTTTTTACTGACTTAGGTAATAGAACTGTTTCTAGAATTCTTAGTTACTGGCCCTTAGGTTTAATCTTTAGAAGCCAACAAGACTACTAAATATTTTAAATGTTTTTAGGCAACAAATGAGCTTTTCATGTGTTAGAACTTAATATATCCTCATGGATAATTCAAATAATGGCTGAATAAATGCAGACCAAGCAGGCAACTTAAGCTATATGTTCTGGAGATAATTTTCACTGGCCAGGTTTTCCTACAAATTCATTAGTTACAGTTTTATGTATGTTCAGATAAAAATCAAGATTAACTTAAATGAATTCATTTTGTTTGCCATTTAATACGGTCTAGAGAAAGTCATTATTCAATATCATCCACAAATCTGTGATTAAAGCAGCTAAAATTGATCTCCATTTTGATTTATCTCTTAGGATCGAAACTTCTTGTTTTAAAGAGATTTTAAAGAGTAGGCATTTGGATTTTATAAAGAAGTACTTGTATCAAAGGTAGAGTAAGAATCCAAATCTGAAATTTAAAAAAAAAATCATAAGGTAATGGTTATTAAATTTGTAACAAAATGTTATTTATCAATTGAATTAGCCTTTGGTGTGACTAGAAGATTTTTCATTGTAGATTGGAGTTTCACTGAAAAATAAACTTTTGTAAAAATACGCACAAGAAAATTACTGCTAAATATTTGTAAGCATAGGCAAGAACTGAGGGTGGAATTTGGTTTGTTGTTTGTTTGGATTACTTGAAAACCTTGTTTTTATAAATTGTATATAAGAATATGTTACCATATCTGTCTTTGAGAACATACTGAGTCAGATGCTTTGAGTGGATAGCTTTTAGAATACATCTTAATCCTCACTTTACCAGTACCTCATTCAATGTCTACTTCAGTAACCATCTAATTAAGTAGCCCTGACTCTTAAGAGAGAACAAAGTAATTACTTAGCAGGCTAGCTCATAGTACAGGAATCAATTGGTAGTGATATTTGATTACTCCAAATTGTAAAATTCAAAGCACTATATTTAATACTTCCTAATATTCTTTATTAAGGTGTTTCCCAATTAGTTTCTTAAAATATGTTTCTTTTAGAGTGATGAAACTATTTTAAAGAAATTGCCTACTTAAAAATTTTAAAGAAGTACTTGAGCTCCCCATTTTGCTCTGTGTTTTTTGTTTAATTGTGGCAGCTTTTTTCTTCCTAGAAAGACACTTACAATTACATGCAGAAGGGCTGGTTTGAATTTTGGTGCTATTATCAATTATATGTGTGATTTCATATGAGTTTTCCAATATATATTAGCCTCATTTGTTTCATCTAAAGATAGAGGTGGTAATAATTCTCAGGGTTGTTATAATGTTAAATGAGATATATGGGAAAGCTTGCTATTGTGAATTGCTGTATACGTATAATGAACAGGATGATATTGTGTCTAGTTTAATTGACATTTCATCTATTTAAGATAATTACTATTTAGTAACACTATCTCTAAATGCTGTCTAGCCACTGAAGATACGAATCATGTGGAAGAATATATCAAATGTTTTTCTGAATTCATGTTATGAGTCTCATCTTTATCTTTTTTTATTCCTCTGAATGCCTAAGGAAAAGAGATTCTACTAAGGTGGGCTGCTATTTTACCTCTCTTAAATTTTAAATGCACTGATTTTGTGTTATAGTAATTATTAATACTAGCTAACACTTAACTATGTCTCAAGTATGACTTCCAGGACTTTCCAATATTAATCTATGTTACCCTCCCAATAACTCTGGGAAGTGAGTGCTGTTATTATCACCAGTGTAAAGGTGGAGAAACTGAGGCACAGATAAATTAACTTGTTAAAGATTACACAGCCAGTGTTTTCAGTCAGATTTAACTTTCTTATACCCTTTGGCAGGCATGGTGGTTCAGGCCTGTAATTACAGTACTTCTGGAAGCCAAGGTGGAAGGATTGCTTGAGCCCAGGAGTTTGAGGCTGCAGTGAGGACCACTGCATTCCTGCCTGGGTAATGGAGACCATACCCTGTCTCTAAAAAATAATAATGATAATAAATTTTCTTATACAATTTCTTCAATTCTTAGGGAAGAATTTGGCAAAAATAATATATAAGATAAATAAAGTCATGAACATTACCTGGGCCTTGGATATAAAGGATGGTGTCTTATCTTGGAAAAATGATGCTGCCTGTCTGCATGTTGGGATGACACTGAGATTGTTGCTTATTTTCCTTTCTTAATCTCCAGTGCTTATAAGTAGATAAATTATTATTAATTTACTAGGATTACTTCTCTCCTGAGCCCAAGGCAAAGTAACATGAGGCTGAACTTATCAGAAAGTCCCTGTCATCTCAGTCCTGTGCTATGAGTGATATAATTGGAAGAAACAGCCCAACACTCCACCCAAAGAGATGTTCCAGAGCACATATATTCTATCTTCTTTTTAGACTTAGAGTTTATTTGACTTGGTTATACTGCATGGAGTCATTCTTTAATTTAGGCATGTTTCCATTCATTTAAGCTATTCATTTGTTAATAAATTTAGCAAATTTTACTGAAGATCTCCCATGTGCCAGGGATGTTGTGGGGTGCTGGAAAGTAGAATGGCAAGTATGACTGTCACACACCCTCTGCTTGTTGAGTTTAAAAGCTAGTGGATGAAGATTGACAATAAGAAAATCATCTCACAAATGGAAGTAACACAAGTGCTCTGAATAGTGCTGCAAAACAGTGAGACATGGTACTCCAGGGACAGATAGGAGAAGGCATTTGGCAGACATTTGATGATCATCATTTGTTCTTCATTGTCTGTCTTTAGTCTTGTACAAGATGTCAGAGACTTAGGGAGAAAGAACAGAGGGAAGATGAGTTAAAAAGAATGGGTGGGGATAGAGTCTACAAAGTGAAACACTGAGTAATACAAGGTGGCCACAAAGAAAAGAAAAACCTCAACTGAGCGGTATAAAACATCAGATTAGTCCTTGAATATATCACATCATAGAAGAATAGTAATATTTGTAGTAATTACCATTTTTCAAGAAATGTTATAGCATATGCATTCTAGTCAACTCATTAAAAGAGGGAGGGATATAATAAATTTGGTTATTTTAATTAATATGTTTATTTTATTGTTGGAAAGTTTATGTATCTATTTAATGGCAATTTATCCAGTATTTTGGATAAATGAAATTATTGCCTTCATTTATATAAATATGTAAAAGCAATATTAATATTAGTTGCAAAAGCATCTCTGGACAGGAAGATAGTGGACCTTGGTTTCTGGTTCCAACTGCTGGACAAATAATAATTGAGAAGAACCTGTTTTCATTAGTGAATATGGGATAATAGCATTTCCCCTGTCTACCTCAGAAGGTTTTTTTCTTTACATAATTCATTCAACTAATATTTATTTTGAACCTTACACTGAGAATACAGTGATGAGCAAAGGAGACATAATCTTAGATCTCATAGGACTTACAGTTCCATGGGAAAGATCAATGTTCATTCACAGTGGTTTTTAATTTTTCCATTCGTGGCCTGCAGTGCCGTTCTCTAGTGTGCTCATAACATGCTCCCTCACTTCATTCAGTTAGGTCTCTCCTCAAATGTCACCTCTTTGGAGAGCCACCATCTCCAGCATTCATTTCAATCTCTCTTTATCCTTTGCTTTACTTTTCTTCCCCACCTTTATCTCTCATTATACTTGTTGTTATCGTTAGGTCCAAGACTGAAGTATAAGAATCCTTTATCCAGCCAGGCGTAAGGGTGTACACCTCTAATCCCAGCTACTGGAGAGGCTGAAGTACTAGAATCTCTTGAACCTGGTTGATGGAGGTTGCAGTGAACTGGTATCACGCCACTTCACTCCAGTATGGGTGACATAGCAAGACTTTGTCTCAAAAAAAAAAAAAAAAAAAAAAATTCTTTATACAGAGACTTTGTCTTTCCTGCTCACTGGTATATATTATTTAGACTAGTGTTTGGAACATAACAGTCTCACAACAAATACTCACTGGATAAATGAGTAAATGAGATGAGCCCACAAGCATGTAATTACCAACTATGACAAACAAATGGGATAAGTGAACAAACTCAAAACTATAAGTAATCCATGTATGCAAGGTGATGCTTATTTATTTGAATTTTAGGAACAAAAATGTAGTCTGCCAGAAGATAGCTTATTATTTTTTCAATTGGTAGTTTTCTATTAAAATAATCATTTTCTAAGAGTTTCTCTTCCTTTATACCCATGATTTATAATATTGAGTACTATCTTTATGGTTCTATAACCCCCTCTACCCCAGTTCAGTTACTCTCTGGAGTAGAGATTCTTAACTTGGATCATTGAACATTTGCGAATTGCACTGTTGGCTCCTGAGACTTCATTTCACTCCTTGAAATTGTAACGTGTGTGGCCCATGCTCATTTTACTGGAAAGAGTTCCTAAAACTGTAATCAGATTCTCGTCTGTATAGCCTCCCAAGTTTAAGAATCATTGCTTTAAAATTTTTTATTTCTCTTTTACTTTTTGTTGCTCTATTGGTATTTGTTTTTTTCTCCTCAGGATGGTTTCATTTTCCATTTATTTTTCATGATTGTAGTTTGTTACTTTTTTTTTTATTGCATTTTAGGTTTTGGGGTACATGTGATGAACATGCAAGATTGTTGCATAGGTACACACATGGCAGTGTGCTTTGCTTCCTTCCGTCCCCTCACCTGTATCTGTCATTTCTCCCCATGCTATCTCTTCCCACCTCCCAACCCCCCGCCCCTCCCCCATTTCCCCCCAACGGATCCCAGTGTGTAGTGCTCCCCTCCCTGTGTCCATGTGTTCTCATTGTTCAACACCCGCCTATGAGCGAGAATATACGGTGTTTGATTTTCTGCTCTTGTTACTTTTAAGTATTTACTGCTTGATTGTCCCCAGTGTGTGGTATTCTTGATTTTTTGTACATATCTGAACCCAGCCCTTCTCTCTGTCTCTCTTTTGTCTGTCCAGCAGTGTCGGGATGTGCCAACTGCCGAGTGGTTTTGTCCAACCCTTCTGGGACCTTTACTTCTCCATGCTACCCTAACGACTACCCGAACAGCCAGGCTTGCATGTGGACCCTCCGAGCCCCCACTGGTTACATCATTCAAATAACGTTTAACGACTTCGACATTGAAGAAGCTCCCAATTGCATTTATGACTCATTATCCCTTGATAATGGAGAGAGCCAGACTAAGTTTTGTGGAGCAACTGCCAAAGGCCTATCATTTAACTCAAGTGTGAATGAGATGCATGTGTCCTTTTCAAGTGACTTTAGCATCCAGAAGAAAGGTTTCAATGCCAGCTACATCAGAGGTATGTAAACCAAAGGCAGCGCCAACCTTCTGCTTTCATTTAACATGTTCTGCAGTAAACACAAGGACCAGAAGACAGAGTTATGCTCTTTTATGTGAATGTGAATGATTAGGATTGGGATTTAAGGGCAAGAACCTGTTAATATTCTCTGAGCATTCTCGTTAGCAAAATATAATTACCAGATCCAAAATCTGGTTATATTAGAGTTGAATTCTTTTATATTGTTTATATGTAGAACATTTAAAGGCTGCTTGGAAGACACTGTAGATATTCCACTGCTAATAATTAAAATCTGTAATTCTAACATCTCTCCACTGAAAATTTAAAACATCCTTATTTAGAAATCATTTTATTTTGAGTTTTTTTGTTGCTCTTTTAAGGAACTATGGTAGGGAACAAATACAGAAAATGAACGTAAATTTTTAACAAGCTATTAACAACTTAAGCTAATAAATAACACAGCTTGAGGAAAGCCACCTGAAAGTGGCTAACTGAAGGAAATAAGCATACTTTTATTAAATATGTTTTTCATATTCTGGTACAACAGAACATTTAAATAATCTTTCTCTCTAAAACCTGTGTTTCCCTAAAGAAACTCAAGCTTCAGTATGATAAGACTTAGTTATTACTGGTTTTTCTTCTTCTGAGCTTTCTAAGTAAAAACAAACAGAAAGGTACAACTATAAAAATGACTGTTATGACTTAGTTATTTTGTTTTTTTTTCCTTCCGAACTTTCTAAGTTAAAACAAGCAAAAAGAAAGGTACAACTATGAAAATGACTCTCACTATTATAAACTGTATTTTTTTTGTTGTTGTTGAGCTACTTGTGTTTGCCATGGTTAAAACATACATGCTTAAATTTTTCAAAATAATGTTTCAAATTAAAATGATAAATATAGGACACTGGAAAACAAAACAAAAAAAAAGAAGCAAATTGGAATTATCTGTACAACTGCCACCCAGCCATAACCACTAATAAAATGTTGATGGTGATATCTATTTTCAGGCTTTGAATTTTAACAATGCATGTGGTATACTGGTTCAATTGTTAAGTTTCTCTTTGCATTAAGTAGACCTAAAAACTGCTTTATATTTAACAAGTAGACTAAAATCCATGATTCCTTTAAATTCTATCATAGATTTTTACTAAAATAGTTATAGTAAAATGATGTTTTATTATAGAACTGTTCTTGATGTACTGAATATTAAAATATATTCAAACTGTTACTCATATGAAACCAGTATTAAAAAGTATTTTTGAGGAGAAATACTTCTTTCTCAAATTAGTTTCACAATGGCTATTATATTAGCATAGGGCTAAATCTATTGTATTATTTAATAATTTTGCATGTAACATAGGTAGAAGGTTTAGGTGAATACATTTTTATTTTGAATTTATTGCACATCTATTATAATAATAGTATTTGCTCTTTATTGCTGTGGTACTGGCACTGTTCTAAACTTTGGGCATATTAACTTATTTAATTCTCATTGACCGTATATGCAATAGCTGCCATTGTTGCCCGTTTTACAGATAAGACAAAGGTAGAGAGAGATGAAGTAACATACCCAGGGTCACATGGCCACTACCCAGAAGAGCTGGAGTAGGAAGCTCTATGGTCTGCCCTTTTACTACTCAAAAACTAGTTATTCGCCTGGATACCTTACATTTCCATTTTGTTGGACTTTTCACTAGACTCCCCCTCCTTAATAGAATTATCTTTGTATTCATTCGTTCCTAAAACAGCCTGATGATGGCAGGAAAAATAGGAGGACATAGAGTATCTGAAATGAAGGTGGTAGCACAGAAATGTTTGGGAAGAGTGAAAAGTAATCGTTAATGAAAATAACAACTATTGTTTATGTTTAGAAATCACTTGAAAAATAGTATTTTTTATAATCTTAATGTATAAACAAAGCCTTCCTGAAACCATTTATTTTCTCCATTAGGTAGTTGGGGCTTTAAAATTGTTAATTTCTTAGTTTCAGGTTTAAAAAATACTTATCAGCTTGGCTGGCTGTCACTCAAAAGTTTAGGCATGAGATCCAATCATAACTAGAGACAAAATGAGTAGAATTTCTTCTTATTATTATCGATATCAGACAATTGGTAATGGGCTGGTGACAAAGGATGGATGAGTAAGAAACGAGGGATGGAGCAAACGGTAGGTAAAAAGGTAACTAGTAGAAAGCGGTGAAGGGCTTGATGTTTTGCATCACCTTTGTCTGTGTTCTGAAGTTAACAGGTTTATCTCTGTTGTGTTTTGTCCTAGTTGCTGTGTCCTTAAGGAATCAAAAGGTCATTTTACCCCAGACATCAGATGCATACCAGGTATCTATTGCAAAAAGTGTCTCCATTCCAGAGCTCAGTGCTTTCACACTCTGCTTTGAAGCAACCAAAGTTGGCCATGAAGACAATGATTGGACAGCTTTCTCCTACTCAAATGCATCCTTCACACAATTGCTCAGTTTTGGAAAGGCCAAGAGTGGCTACTTTCTGTCCATTTCAGATTCAAAATGCTTGCTGAACAATGCATTACCTATCAAGGAAAAAGAAGACATTTTTGCAGAAAGCTTTGAGCAGCTCTGCCTTGTTTGGAATAATTCTTTGGGCTCTGTTGGTGTAAATTTCAAAAGAAACTATGAAATAGTTCAATGTGATTCTACCATTAGTAAAGTTATTCCTGGGAATGGGAAACTCTTTTTGGGCTCCAATCAAAATGAAATTGCCTCTCTAAAAGGGGACATTTATAACTTTCGACTTTGGAATTTTACCATGAATTCCAAAATCCTCTCCAACCTCAGCTGTAATGTGAAAGGGAATGTAGTCGACTGGCAAAATGACTTCTGGAATATCCCAAACCTAGCTCTGAAAGCTGAAAGCAACCTAAGCTGTGGTGAGTTTGTAGCATGTTCCTTTTCTTTTAGTATTGTTCTATGAATATGATTGTCAACAAGGAATTATACACACACATATATGTATGTGTATGTATATTCACACATATATACATATAGTTGTCTTTCAAAAGCTCTTTTAATTTTTAAAACATTATCTGCTCAGCTATTACAGCACACATTTGATTATAAGCCATGCATGCTCCATCAAGACATTTGGTTTTACCATTCTTAAGTTTCCCCTATTTCATAAAATATCACACACTGTTTATCACTGATATAACACAGTTATAATTATGGAGTCTCAATAGAAATGTTAACACTAGGCTTGAAACAAAAGAAATTCATAAGTAAGTTATTGCTGTTTTTGTTTTTTTTGAAACAGTCTCACTGTGTCGCCCAGGCTGGAGTGCAGTGGGGCGATCTTGGCTCACTGCAAACTCCACCTCCCAGGTTGAAGCAATTCTCATACCTCAGCCTCCCAAGTATCTGGGGCCACAGGAATATGCCACCACACCTGGCTAATTTTTGTATTTTTTTTAATAGAGAAGGGGTTTCACCATGTTGGCTAAGCTGATCTGGAACTCTTGACCTCAAGTGGTCCATCCACCACCTCAACCTCCCAAAGTGCTGGGATTACAAACGTGAAATACCATGCCTGGCTAGTTACTGTTTTTAATCACAAAGGTGATACAGTAATAACCGATCTTTATCCTGGAATTAAATTTCAATTGGATGACTTAAATAAACAACCATCACTTAAGAGAACAGTATGTACTCAGCCAGTATTAAATATCAAACTGTCCATTTTGTAGAAAATCTTAATACAGGAATTATCCATTTTTTCTTGAACATTTTTCTCCATTTCTTAAAAATGAGGATTTATAGTTTGTTTCAAATACTGTGCTCTCTCTGGTTCTTCCTCATGAGACTGTAAATGTGCTATTATTGCAAGTAGCTAAATTCAGAATATTTTAAGAAATAATTCTGTGATAAAAATTGTATTAAAATAGAGCTCCACCTAATATTCTCTATTTACACAAGTTAATTCTGGAAGCCTTTATTTTATTACAGGATCGATTCAAACACGAAAAGTAGAAGTTTCATTATCAACTTTAAATTCATGTGACTAAATCAAAGGTCGTGATAATATATACATTTTAGTCACAGACATATCCCCAGTTTCTCAGACCCATGCCTGCCCTTCTGGCCTGGGAACTCCTGTTACTCACCTCTTCTTGTGGCCCATGGCACTCCTAGAGGTGATGGAAGGGCTGCAAAGTGATGTCATTTGAAAGATATTTCCCTGTAGGATGTTGGACAGCAGATAAACCACAACCCTGTTTCACAGAGAAACTGCAGAGCTTTATAAGAGCTGATGGTGTTCCCTAAGATCTTCTCTCAGTGTAGGATAGCTAGAAAGAACTCTCAGGGATTCCTTGAGAAGTATTTTATCAGAGAATAAATTAAGAAGGTCAAGTATATATATTTGCTGTGGGACAGTGAAGAATAAGGAGAGGAAATGGTGTACTTCCTGCATTGTGGGTGATTGTCTTTAATTCAGGGGTCTATTTTCACCATATAATGGGCAATTATTAAAAAGTAATATAGACTATATTTGCCTTTTTTTAATGAGATGATGTTTTGATGTCAGCAACCAAAACAAATATGGCTATGTTAATTATTGCTAATACTTAAATTATATTTAAATTGAGCACACATTTTGCACTAAATATCATTTTAAGCACTTTATACATATTAACTGATTACCTACATCATAGATCCCATGTTGGGAGTTTTATAATTGACCTTGTTTTGCAAATAAAGAATCTGAGGCATATGGAGATTAAACAACTTATCCAATGTCAATTAGTAAGTAGCCAAACCAGGATTGGACCTTGGAAAGTTTGGGTTAGAGCTGTGCTTTTCTAACCAGTATAAATTAGACTGTCATTCAGCATAAACCAGATTAGAATACGAGATTTAGTACTAGAGTAAGCAAGCTCATTCCTGCCCAGGGGAGAAGTATGAAAGTCCAAGAGCCATCTCCCTGGCATTCAGTGCATTCTGTGAGAAGTCACTAGCTACGAGTGTGTTAACATATTTGTTTCAAACAAACAATATTTGTTTCCCACAATACTTCTTGGATACCTAATTATGAAAAAGTATGATACAGTTTTACAGGGATTCCTAAGTTTCTCTTAGAATTTCTCTAGACCAGAGGTTGGCAAATTAGGAGGCCCTGTCACAGGCCATGTTTTTTTTTTTGTTTACTTGTTTAGAGACAGGGTTTCACTCTGTCCCCCAGGCTGGACTACAGTAGTGCCATCATAGTTCACTATAACCTTCAACTTCTGAGCCCAATTGATACTCCTACTTCAGCTTTTCTGAGTAGGTAGCACATCAAGTGTGTATCACCATGCCCAACTAATTTTTTAAAAAATTTCTAAGGCCGGGCATGGTGGCTCACACCTATAATCCCAGCATTTTGGGAGGCCAAGGCGGGAGGATCACAAGGTCAGGAGATCAAGACCATCCTGGCTAACATGGTGAAACCTCATCTTTAAAAAAAAAAAAATTCTTGTAGAGATGAGGTCTCTATGTTATTAAGGCTGGTCTTGAACTCCTGGCTCCATGTGATCCTCCCTCCTCAGCCTCTCAAAGCAGTGGATTACAGGCATGAACCATCATGCCCAGCACATATGTTTTTTTATACTTGTGTTTCTTTTTCTTTTTTTGGATGGAATCTTATTATGTTGCCCAGACTGGCCTCAAACTCTTAGGCTAAAGCAGTTCTAATCTCAGCCTTCTGAGTGACTGGGACTAAGCCTACTTGTTCTTGTAAATAAAGTTTTGTCGAAACACAGACATGCCCATTAGTTTATACATTGTCTATGGCTGCCTCTGTGCTACAATGGCTGTATTAATTGATTGTGATCAATGCAGTATAAAACGTTTAGGAAAACATTTGCCAACCCCTAAAACTAGTCTAAAGAAGCCTCATGCGAGTCCACTTTTCTGAAGCACATACTTTGGACAGTACGTACTAGAAAAGACCTGCTAGATCTCCTCAGCTAGGGAAAAGAAACCATTTACCCACAGGCTAGTTTAGCCCTAAGACATGGCTAATGGTGGTAGCATTTATTTGTTCCTATTCATTTACATTTGTTCCACACAGTGCTTTTAATGGATGAATTATTTCTGATATTAAAAAATTAGATTTCACATAAAAATGATGTTTTGGATATTTCTGGTAAACAAAATACACTAGGTTAGCATTTTTAAATGGCCAACACAGCTGGAGCTAAATGGTGACTGCCGCTTTCAAAGGGGCTTACAGTTTACTTCAGCCCTTAGGACTCTCTTATTTTTCCCACTCCAGCCCCTTTTTCATCTTTAGATTGCTTTCGGGCCCTGATAGGCATTTAAATGGGAATGCTGATTTATGCCACTCCCTTTATACAGGACAGGAAACTGAAGTTTAGAGAAAATAAGTGGTAGAGGCAGCTGGTGGGCTCTAAATGTGTCTCCTCTCTCCTTGTCTAGTGTTTATGTCTGGGAATACTTATTTTAAAAAATTTTTAAATTATTTTAATTGATAAAAACTATATGTGTATACGGTATACAACAAATTTTAAGATATATATATATATATATACACACACACACACACACACACACACACACACATGTGGAATGACTAATATGAGCTAATTAACATTCATTATTATCTCATGTACTTGTTTGTAGGGAGAACATTTAAAATCTCTCAGCAATTTTCAAGTCTACAATTATTTTTATTAGCAATAGTCATCATGTTGTACAATAGATTTCTTGAACGTATTCCTCCAGTCTAACTGAAATTTTCCATCCTTTGACCATATATTCTCAACTCCTGTGCCCCATCCACCACTGAGCCCCTGGAAACTACCATTCTAGCCTTTGTTTTTATGAGTTCAACTTATTTAGATTCCACCTGTTTAGATGTAAGATCACGCAGTTCTCATAATTTCTTAAACTCTGCCTAGAGACTCCTTTCCCAAGCCTTAAGATTATCAGAGTTCATCAAATACATACTCATGTACCTTAGTCATGTATAAGTTTTCAAAACAATTTCATCAAAAGGGTATCATGAACTTACAGAGTTAATATACTTGAGTCTTTTTAACTTTTATAGTGATCTTTTTGCCATTCCAAGATGACGTTAAACACTCACATTCCAGACATTCAGATGTCCTGGACTGTGTTGCAGGAGTAATGATGAAAGAGGGAATTTCCTGTTGCTTAATCATCAGCTTTGGGAGTTGAAGAACCCAAGTCACTCATTAACTGACAGGAAATACCTGTAACAGAGATTATATCAAAGCTTGTTAGCTAAGCAAATCTTTGATAAGTGTACCCTGTTAACATTTTAACCTTTCATTTTTTTCCAGAAAATGAAAGCATCTTGCAGTTTATGGTTATCTTAATTTCCATGATCAGTACAGTAACCAATGGGAGAATAGAATTTTATTTCTAGCATTCCATTGAACTGACAGTGCGTGCTAAATATGAGCTTTTATTTCAGCACCTATTTGTGATAGAAAAATAAATAGATTTTGCAAAGTTACATTGCTAATAAATTTTAATATAAAAGTAACAGTAGAATTGAATGGACTCAATTTAACATTAAAATGTTCTGTCATTTGTTTCACATATAGCCTTAATAAAATTGATACATTATTAATAAGTATTCTGATAATTTTAGAAAATAACTTTGTTTTCTTATACTTTTCTAAAAATATTTGGGAAATGTACCTTAATTAGGAAATTTTCAGCAGATTTTTAAAGACATGGTTAAACCTGTCCTTTTAAAAATCAAATGCTTGATTTAGCAATAATTCTTTTTCATTTTATAGCATCTTCATTTTTCTTAGAACAATTTTATTAAACATATTCAGTTTTATGACCCACATGGATAGATACATTTTTAGTGGACTCTTTAATTACAGGTACAAGTATT